CAAAAATAGGACCACATTTGAATTTGGACAAAAAAGAGAGCTATTTCAACTCAAAATCATAAATTACCTCGCCCCCTTCACTCCATCTATGCGAAAAGCCCTCGCACATTTTCCTTCTATGCTATTTAGCCAACCTTCATCTTCGCACAACTGATCGAGCTTTGCCTCCATCACATCGACGACGACGCCAATTTCCACAGCCTTACCATTCTTCTATTTCTTCTTTATCCCCCTCTCGGTCTTTTGGTGTTAATGGGCGAGCAGAAATCTTCATATCTGAAGACGATGAAGCGAGAGATGAAGGGCGACGATGTGGCGAGACACAGCGAGGCGAGCTAGCAACGGCGACGTTGAGTAGATCGTCAGCGGCGAACTCGCGACTAGGGGCGGGGGTGCGGTTGGGGCCTAGGGTTGGAAGCAGTGGGCTGATGGGACAACTAAAATGAGTTGGGTTGAAGGCCCAGATCAGGAGTCTGATCGGAACCGGGCCACCACTAAGAGAGATGAACAAAAAATGGGGTAGGGGATAATGCAGGGTTGGACTCGGGCCGGGCGGCCCGAACCAGAACCGGCTCGGTCACTGTTTGAACCGGCCCGGCCCATGGGCGGTTCGGGTCGACCCGGCCCGGTGCCTACCGGTTCTGGGCTCGGGCCTTCATTTTGGTGAACCAGCCCGGCCGGTTCGGGCCGATTTTTTTTTTTGGAATAAGGGTCATATAAGCCCTTATACTATTATGAAAAGGTCATCTAAACCCATATACTAAAAAAAAGATCACTTAGACACATTTACTACTAAAAACAATCAAATAAGTCCAATGACCTGAAACCAACCTTCAATAGCAGGTTAAAATCTTTTTCTTTTCTTTTCTCTTTTTTCTTCTTCTCTCACTTCACACTCCACTCTAAAATCTTTTTCTTTTCTTTTCTCTTTTTTCTTCTTCTCTCACTTCACACTCCACTCATCTAATTGTTTTTTTTGTTTTCCCTTTTCTTTCTCTTTCCTTTTTTCTCAACCGTGGCCCATCTTTCCGTTGCAAGCACTTACAGTCATGTATCCTCTTCAATCTATCATCCCAGATTCCCATTTACCATGTCCTAAACATACGGTTTATTTTTTTTAGTTTGTTCTTTTTCTTCCTTCCCTTATTTCCTTTTTTATTTATTGTCTCTTCCCAAAAAATGTTTTTGACAATTCTATTTAATTATTTCAATAAATTATCATCTCCGACTCATAGTGCTTATTCCTAATAAATAAAATTGTCAATTGTTGCTAAAGATTTATTTTATTTTTTTAAAAAATGACACTTTAGTCTTTCAGTTATTGCTCATGTTGAAATGTAGTCCTTGTTAGTAAATATGAATTAACACTGTTAAATTTTGCATGTTTAAGATTGTAACTTCGTATGCAATAAAAAAATCACACACTTTCGCACACATTTTAAAAATTCGTCGTACTTAAACTTTTTAACTCTAAAGTTAGGTCGTAAATATAAAATGTCATCAATAAAATTCGTAGAGACAAGCATAAGTGCACAAAAAAGTTTTAGCCTGGTGAAAAAATGTATTCTGTTTATTCACATTTTCAAAAAATTGTAATTAACAATTTTTCTCTAAGGTTACTGATACACAAAAATATCAATGGGAGAATGTCCAATTTTACGAACAACAAATGCCAAGAATAAATTTTGTCTAAAATTTAAAAGTTGATTTTTCACATTGATTTTTTTGTCTGTTCCTCACTTATATAGCAAACTTCTCTGTTCTCGACATTTATTTTCTGTAAAAGAGGATTTCCTCTTCCGACATTTTTTTATGCTTTGCAACAAAATTTGTTTGTACAAAGAATACTGAGAATGTTTACAAAAATTACACATTTTTATGGCCTCGTCTGAGATTCTTTTTTCTGCACCAGACATTTGTTGTCTGAAAAAATTAAATATTTTTTACCGAATTTGTTATCACTCGCCTTACTTTATAGAAAAAATGTCACTACGAAGGACTTTGGAACCAAGAATTGAAGAGTCAAACCAAACCAAACCATTAAGACCCGGTTATCATGCGCCTAATTGGTTCTAACATATATTAGTTACTCCCCCCGTCCCGCTAAGATTGTCACATACACTATTCACTTGGTCAACACAAATTACTCTTAATCTCTTACTTTATATATCAATTTTTTTTTATCAAATTTGATTCTGGTTTTTGCGACTTTATAAAGTTTTTAATATAGTTTATGAATATGTTTTTCTCTTTAATTTTTCTAAAAATAAATTGAGTGCGAACATGGATTTGTTTGCTTTATCGTCGGTCACTCATTGTGCACTATTCATACAATCTACATTGACTATATTTTATTTATTAATGTATTAGGAATTAAATTTTTAAAAAATATTTTTAAATTCTTCTTATTTTAAATTATTAAAATCTGAATTTTTAATTTTTAATTAATAAAGAATAAAAGATATTAACGGTCAAACTTGTGCATTGACAAACGTGAAAAGTGGACCGTCGCAATTAAAAAAGAACAAAGAAAGTATATTTTAATGTATATTTCAATACTTTATATGTTGGTTTGCATATTTATAAGCAGCCATTGTAAGGTAGCTTAAAATAGTCTTGATCTTTTGAAGATTAAAAAGTTGAATGCAGTCGATTTAAAATACGGGCACAACCAAATATGGAGTATATATGATGAACAGTTAGAGAGTTGCGATATGGAATTTGACGAGAAGCTAGAAAACATATTGATACGAGTCTTTGATAGCATGATACTACTCGAGCACTTGTTCAGTGGGTGAAGAAAGGATACAATAAAAATAAGGAAAAACAATTGAAAATGAGATTGAAAAAAATGAGAGACGACGTGAGGAGGGAAAGCACGGGGTGGAGAAAAGAAAAAAATAATGAACAATGGAAAAACAATAGTTGAAGAAAACGCAAAAAAAAGGTGGAGGAAAGTTGCCACCGTAAATGGGTGAAGAACAAAGAAAAAATAAAGGAAAACATGGATGACTTGTTATTACAGGTCGCAAACAGGTCAGTGGGCTTGTTTGATGTATTTTTGGAAGTAAATGTACTCCAATGATTCTTTTTTTAATAGAAGGGCTTAGATGATTGTATTGTAATAGTAGAAGGATCTATTTGACCCTTTTTCCTTTTTTTTTTAAGTTTTTGGGTTGGATTGGGTATTTTGGGCCATTTGAGGTGGTTTGGGGTGGTTTAAGGTTGAGGGGGAGGGTAGGGGGTTGATTAGGAAAACCCAAAAAAAAAATTATATAGAACCGAACCGGGCCCGACCCGAACCGGACCCGGGGTTACCCGGGCCTCCCCTACCTTGAACCGAGGCCCGCCGGTTCAAGGCCCGAACCGGGCCCGGCCCGGAACCGGTCCACCCCTAGGATAATGTGTAAAATGGATGAAATGTTTGATTAGGGTTTAAAAGTTTCTCATAAGGGGTATATAAAGAGAAATGGTGGGTCGGGCCGTTGATGGGGGACCGATAAGCCCAACTATATAAAATGCTAATCTAGTACATACAATGGATATGTAAACTGTACAATAATATAAATATCGTCTGCTAGGTGTACATGAGCCGCTGTCCAGACCAAATAGTCGGTTTTTTTACAAAATAATAATTGCCAATTTTTGTTTATTTTAGTATATCTTGTAGAAGAAGATAATAACGAAAGAAAATAAAAAATTTTATAATTCTTCAAATTCCCTATCTATTAATTATTATTGCTGGTGCTACCGGTGTTCTGCCAGCATTACCTTTCCTTAGTTTTGGACTCGGGTTGGGCCGCCCGGCCCAGAACCGGCCTGGGACCGGTACTGTTTTGGGCCCAGCCCGGCCCGGTGATCCGCTACAGTCTGGTTCGAGTAGGACCGGCCCGCTGGTTAGGGAAGGGCGGGCTCGGGTCAGCTGAATATGGAACCAGCCCGGCTGGGGTAGTTTAGGGGGGTCGGGGGGGTCAGGGGTTAATCAGAAAAAGGAAAAAAATTACAAAGTGGCCCGAGGCCTGACCCGGGCCTAGGGGTGGACTCGGATCGGGCCGCCCGGCCCGGTACTGTTTGGGCCTGGCCCGTCCCGGTACCCGGTCATGGGGACGGTTCGGGCCAACCGGAACCGGTCTATTCCCGGTGCGGGCTCGGGCCTTGAAAATGGTGAATCGGCCCGGCCGGTTCGGGCCAAATTTGTTTTTTTTTTTGTTTTTTCAATTTTTTTGGTTTCTACCGGGTAGGGCTGGGTGTTTTGGGGGGGGGGGGGGTAGTGGTGGACTCGGGCCGGGCGGCCCGGAACCGGCCCGGCCCGGTTACTGTTTGGCCCGGCCCGGCCCGGGGCCCGGTGGGTCCACCGGTTCGGTTCGGCCCGGCCCGGCTGCTGGGCGGTTCGGGCTCGGGCCCTGTTTTTGGTGAACCGGCCCGGCCGGTTCGGGCCCGGTTCGGGCCGGTTTTTAATTTTTTTTTTTTGAATTTTTTTTAAGTTTTGGGTTGGATTAGGTATTTTGGGCCATTTGAGGTGGTTTGGGGTTGAGGGGGAGGGGTTGGGGGTTAAATAGAAGAGCCTAAAAAAAAAATTATAACAGGTTAGGCCCGGCCCGGCCCGGTTTGGCCCGGAACCGGAACCGGAACCGCCCACCGGCGGTTCGGGCTCGGGCCCAACATTCCTGGCCCGAGGCCCGGCCGGGCCCGAACCGGCCCGAGTCCACCACTAGGTGGGGGTGAGGGGGTAATTTAGAAAAACAAAAGAAAAAAAAATTAACATGAACCGGAAACCGGCCCGACCCGGCCCGGAACCGCCGGCTACCCGGGCCAGTTCCGGTTCCCTACTACCCAAACAAAAGCCCGGCCGGTCCCAAGCCCGAACCGGAACCGGCCCGGCCCGGCCCCAGTCCATCCCTACCCGGGCCGGTCCCAGTCTTCTCTCCCAACCTTCTCTCCCAGTCTCCCACCAGGGCTCTATTAATATGATCCAGTGAGTGCATCAAGAGGTTGTCAATCCGCAACTCCCATGTTCTTATTGAGATACTAATCTACACTCTACAGATGTATGTGTACCAATCCAGCTTAGCCAATGGAATTAAGGTGGTTGTCAATTATGGACTCGTATCTCAATTATGGATTATTATTTGAGTGACATTAAAACCATTGCTGATAACTTTACTACCATTGAATCATTGATGCTGTTATATGACTCGTATCTCACACTGATCACTTTCAATACAACATCCTTGGACTGTGACACAAGCAACGAATCTTTGGTTATGGGAGTTCATTTCTCCGGGTCTCCGGGAGCTTTTGTTTTGATGACTTGTGGCGCTTCTTGTCCACAAACAAGGCATCATAAATCTCTGTTCTCAAGCTTTGGAGAGTCGTCACCAAGCATTCACCGCTCAACCAGAGACCTCCAAGCACTTGGTTTAACACCATTCTTCAGGCTCAGCTGCACTAGGATACCAGCAGTCAAGTGGCCAGCAGTCATGCCACGTCTGGCATGGTGTTCGCACTCGCTGCAGTAGAGCAAAAACATGGCCTAATCATATAGACGTAATAAAAGTGTTTTAGACATCCAAAAGTTAAGCCAAACAGGCACCTCCTAAGGGTGACACCAACTGGGGGAAAGTTCATCAAGTTCCACAACTCAGATTCAGGAGATTTTATGTACAGTCACACTGTCACATATATATATAAGCAAGAGTAGAGATAACAGACATAGTCCCTACGAACATTGTGAATGGTGATTGCATGTTTAGTTCATGAATCAAACAACAATGAGTTTAGCAGACCAAAGAGAAGCAACCAGCTGGTCTAACTCAGAGCGAGGAGACATCAGACTTTAGTTAGTCTGCTGTCCAGCTTTGCTCAACGATCTCACGCACCTTCCTGTTATACTCTCGCTTATTCTCACTAAACAGCCGTGCTGCTTCTGAGTTGGCGGGTGAGTTTGGATTTGGATCACAAAGCAACGACTGCAATGAAAAATCAAATCATCAATCAACTTATGTAAAGGCTTGTTTGACTGAAAAAAACTGAACTGGTATATAGTTATATACTTCTAATAACTGGTCTGGCCTGGTTTAAATTTTTTTGGTTCGGTCTAATATGGTCTGAATCTTTGATTCCATCTAGCTTGATCTTGCATAATTTTACTAAGTGTGTGCTTTGACATTTATAACTCGTACTTCTTAGATTAAACTGATTCTATATTATATAACAATTCAAACAATGAAATGGTAACATTCCAACTTCAAGATTAAATAAGATATTTAGGCCTCTAATTCCGCGTATTAAACCCCCATCAACCACAGAAAAATTTGCTTTTGACAAAGTTGGTTTTATTTCAAACAAATTGAAAAATAATAATTAGAAAGGCAGTAATTTGAAGAAACATCACTTTTTTCTGTAACTTGATTTTAAAAACAAAAGAAGAAAATATTCGAGGGGCTACATGGATCCCTAACATTGAAGATCGCTAGCTTGTGTGATCTGCGATGGGCCACCATAAACATATGTAGTATTTAATTATAAGAAAGTATTACATCCGTCCACAAAAAAAAAGTCTTTTTCCATCAGGTCATAACTATTTAATTTGAGTGAAGTACAACTCTTCAAGTCATCAATCCTAGTATATTTTAAAATTTATTTGTTGCTTTAATTACATACGCAGTATAACATATTCAACTCATGTTAAACACTTTAATTATTTGATATATAAAATTTGTGTTCTTTTGTTGAAATTGCACACTTTTTGGGGGGACAGAGTGAATATTTTAAATGGAAAACTGTCAAATAGGCCCTTGCAATTTATCTAAAAAGTCAATTAAGACCTCGATCCTAAAAACACTCAATTAAACTCAAGAACTTTAGAAAAACACTCAAATGTGTAATTTAGCAGGTTAAGGTCTGTAATGTATAATTAGTTATTCATATGTGGTGACTCACGTGTCTATTTTTATTCATTTTTAGTTTCTTTCCTTGTATCTCCTCTTCTTCTTTATTCTTTCACCCCACCCATCATATGAGACCTTCTCTCCCCTTCTACTTTCTTCTTCCACCCCATAGACTCCACTACAACCCCCACACGGATAACAATAAGTCAATTACAAAAAACTGCAATACCCTAAAATATAGTATAATTGGCATCAACTCTTGAGCAAGAGAAACAAGGCTGTCCTGCTTTCTCTCTTCCACCCAGAAAATGGAAGCAAAGAACGATCTTTAAATTCCACCTCACACCAATGCATAAGCTGTCCATTCCTTGGCGGATCCGCTTCTATCTTTCCATTTCCTCAGCCATCACCAACGCTTCTCGACAACAAAATGGCACCAATAATCACTGATAGCTCACTAGTAAGCCGCTAGTGGTATTTATAGAGAGGAGGAAGAGCTATGAGTTAGAGAGAGAAAGTAATATGATATTCATGAACTCAAAACCCTTTACATCTAACCCAAGGGGTATTTATAGTAGAAGTAAATGCTGAGTGCATCAAATGCACGTACACGTGTTAGCTAGTCTATGGACGAGAGCCCTGCTGTTCGGCAGAATGTGACGTGTGTCTTCGTAGGTAATCTGCTGAGGTGGTGGACGAGGCATCCCAGGACGAGGTGCTTGAACCCTCATTCTTGTCGTTCCTTTGCTTCGACTGGTTTCTGCCTGGGCTGGGCCAAGCCGAGGGGGCTGTACAGGTTAATTTTGATCCACCCGGTGGACCCTACCCATCACTTCTGGTTCCGCCTTTTCATCCCCACCTTGACTGATGCTCAGGATTCTGATTCCCTACCGTTGATCTAGGTGATGTGGAAGAAGAAAGTAGAAGGGGAGAAGGAAGGATAAAAGAAAGAAAAAGAAAAGTCCAGTTTGCTGTGAGGAGGGTGGGGTGAAAGAAGAAAGAAGAAGGAGAGGGAAGTCTGCTATTGAATGGTGGCGTGGAACTGTGGAAGTATAAAGTAGAAGGGGGAGAGAGAAGGAAAAAAAATGAGTAAAAATAGAATCGTGGATCGCAACATGTGTAAGTAACCGGTTAATGGGGCCTTAACCTGCTAAATTACACATTTAAGTGTTTTTCTAAAGTTCCTAGGATTAATTGAGTCTAGATTTGAGGGCTTAATTGAATTTAAAATATACTATGAGGGCTTATTTGACAGTATTCCCTTTTTAAATCAAATATGGAGTATTATTCAAGTTAAGAACCAGGGAAAAGAAAAGAATTAACATAGCACGCCATAAGTCACACAAAAGAGATTCGTGCATGGTCTAGTCCTTGCCCAAGGGTAGGGTATTAGAAGGTACAGATACACCCAAGTATCCTTTTAAGCTTGAAAGCCAACTCAACATACCTGGATTGAAGTAAGTATCGCTGCAACATCATATATAGGGCTCCATTGGTTTTGCAGGATATCCAAACATATGCTTCCATCGGCATAAACTGAGCAAGAATAGAATCATGACAACAAATAAGAACTTAGATGCAAATTTCAGGAAACAAAATATATCAACTCAAAAGTGTAACAGAATCGATAAAAATGTAGTGCAAACATTGTGAGAAGAGAAGATGCAATAATTAAATAAGGAAAGTCCGTATTTAAGAGAACTTTTGTCCCAAAAATGGGGTCTGGTTGTATATGAAAAATTCAATTTCTAATGCAAAATTCCTTTAACGCCAAACACTAGGTGGTATTATTTTAATACTTCAAACAATCTCAGAATTCAAATGCTTAAAACAATCTCAGAAATAAGTTACGGGGATACAAGTGAACGGTAATAAATTGCACGTATCTGTGCCTTGATTGGGTTTACCGCAAAAATGTTGTACACTTGTACCTTACTCAACATGAGCTTTTTTGTACCTTACGGTAATAAATTGCACGTATCTGTGCCTTGATTGGGTATGATTTAAAAATTAACTTCAAAAAATATAAAATACTAAAGCCATAGAAGGCATTTGTTGGGCTTTTTTTATGCAGAAATCACATTGATCCCAAATGGTATCATTTGCTTTGCACTTTTAACCCTTCAACTGGAATGAAATATAACTCCATATATCCTACTATATACAAAGCCAAGTGGGAAAAATGAACAGTAATCCCGCCAAAAGACACGGGTAAAGTATGGGTTGGATCCTGTTGTGAAGTGAACAGTTCAAAAGATTGCCTTTAACTTGGCAGATCTTCTCAGTGGACGTGCTTCTTCGTAGATGTTACATACGGATTTGGGGTTGGTTTCCATGGTGAGATGAAAATTCAAAACAATGAAATACCAAGGAAAAAGTGCTACACGCCATGAGCTGTCCAATGTTCAGTGTGTAATGCATGTGCTTCATAATAATGAAAGCAAGTTGGCTGTCGAAATACGAAGTAGTATTAAAAAGGGCTGCCACAACAGTATTAACAATAAAATAATGTATCTTGATTTCAGCTTTATTCTGTATTCTGCTCAGCCTCTCCATAGCAGTTGTATGAATACTCCGTATGATACATTGATACTCTGTATGGTAGGTAAGCCTCTCGAGCAATAATAAATAGCTCCTTCCTGTTGCACAGACTGTTCTTGCCTAGGAACCACGGAAATGTCATTATACTCCTAGTTTCATTTCAGAAACATTTCGAACGCCATGGAAACACCAAGCTAGGTTCTGAGGTATTGGGTTTGGAGCCAGGTTCGGGAAACGTTTCCCAAACGTATTTTAATTGAATCGAGGCGTTTCTCAGTTTCGTAACAATACATTTAGACTTTAGTCGGCACACCTCCTTTGCTCATGCAAACTATACTTGGCAATCAGTAAACAGCGAGAGGCTAACAGTCCCCTGAAATGATGTTTGCGACTTGTGAATCCCCTGTCTCCGTCGGCAGCGACGGCCGACAGCATGAAGAAAGTCTGAGTCAGAGTGTCAAACTACGGCCAGATGCACACAGATGGCCAACGCAAAGACTGGTATCGACTACCCGGCATCAGCTATTTGGCACTGGGCGGTCGGCAATTTCCAGATCTTATAGCCGCAGAATCCGTGCTTCAGATTTAATCACCACGTTTAATCGCAGACAAACAGGTATGCAAGGAATGGGTTTGGCCAGTTGAAAGAAATGGGTGGTTTGGAGTTTGCTGCTTTATCCTTGGATGAGGGAATTGAAGAGTAATTTTTTTGGACGTAAACATAAACTCATGTAATGGTTACATGTTCTGATTACTAAAATTTGAACATTTAATTTGACTATTATTTTTTGTACCTGTATCTTGAATACTTTGCACATAGCCAGTCAGAGTAATTGTAATTAGTAAACTTTTTTACCAGACAACTTGACTAGTTGAAAATAGAGACAACCTAATGGACACCAAGAGTTTACAAAATTAACGTTTGTGTGACAGATATAGATTTAAATCAGACAACTTGTTTGTACAATCAATCACGATTCACGACTTACATTTTGTTTGCAAATTATTATCGATTTATTTCCTTTTTTAATCTCTTTTTATATATTAAAAAAGAAGAATAGAGGTGAGGCATTGAATCAATAAATGTTTTGACACACTCACAATTTAAAAATAATTTTGTGTTCATATAAGTGTAACTTAGAGCTTATAAACTTAACTGTTTGTTTAGTCTGTGTTACCATTGTATATGTTTTGTGTGAAAATTGTACTTAACTAACGAAAAACACAAGACTTCGTGTAATATTATTAGTAAATTTGTTCAATGTCAAGTTTTTAAAAATATTAAGATCAAATTGTAGGATATGTTGAAGTAAACTAAATATTAAAATACTTGACATTATCAAAGCAAAAGCTCTACTTCAATTCTTCCAACACTTTGATTTGAATGTAGAGCATGTCATAGATAAAATGTACACCTTCGACCAAAAGTTATATATCTGATTTTAAAATACAAAAATTGCTATTTGTTAGATGGATGTACTTATCTAATATTGTTTGAGATCTCTTTCAATTGTTTCAAATCTCTATGCATACAATATTTTATTTCTTATGATGATATCATGTACTCCCTCTGGTTCACAATATTTTTGTTTTTTCTACACAATTTTAGGCTGGACAATTTACAATTTTTAATCCCCGTGCCAAGTCAAAATAGGAATTAATTATAGGACGAAGGGAATTACATTTTAACTTTTTTCAGTTTCATAAAACTCCCACCCCATGCATTGCACGGGTGAGAGACTGGTGATAATCAAAAGCGGGACTTCATCGCCAGGCCTGCATTCATTTATTGTTCCCATATTTTTTAATTTTTATTTTAAGAGTCAGTTCCAGAAGCGGCTCTATAGCCGAATACATATTGGAAGCTCTCAATGCCAAAATGCAGGTTTTAGTTTCCGGGTTGGCTGTGAAGGACTGAAATCAAATCAAATTACTTAATGATCAATGTATTGAGTAATATATTACCAACACATGATAATAGGTATGATGTTCGACTAAAATATATTAATTGTATCTCAAATAGTCTACCCTCAAGATTAAGAGGCAAATTACTAGAAAAGGGCTGTCATAGGTTTGAATTACATATTTACATCTAACATCTCCACCCAAGAGCAGATATGGGAACAAAGGAAAAATAACCTTCCTACCTAACTGATGTTCAGCCTACTTGCAATGCAAGCGAGTACAAATGACTCCGCAGACCGCAGTAAATGACAATAGACTAGTTCTGAGGTAAATATTTAAAACTAAAAGGTAGTAAAATATACTCCCTCCGTATTTTTTTGTTTGCTACAATAGGTGTTGGCACATTTTTAAGAGTGAAATACTTGGGGTAATGAATAGTGTAAAAGTATGAAAGAGAAGATAAAAAGTGGAAAAAGTAACGGTAGTTGAGGATTTTTAAAGGAAAGACTTGCCAAAAATGGAAAGTGTAGCAAATTTTTGAATACATCCAAAAAAGGAAAGTGTAGCAAACAAAAAAATACAGAGGGAGTATGAAGAATGGGTACGAGAAGTAAAATGACCTAAATATATTAGATATGGCCGCAATGTAACAAAATATTATAACAACTAATGCTTACATATATATATACATACATACATACGTACGTACACACATACACACACACACACATAAATGATCTCATCAGTTCAGAGTGACGGGAACCCTATCTATCCAAATTAATTCTCGGCCTAAACATGAATTTAGTGATCCAATTTTTTTACTCATTAGCATTAGCCATTAGTTTAGGGGGGATATTCGTGTGGAGGATTGATCTCTTTTTATCTTATTTATCCTTTTATCTTTTTATCTTCCTTTTGTTCTTCATCCTGATACGTTTAATCTTATGTTTTTATCCTTTTTAGCATATCGTTTTTATCTTTATCTTAACTTTGTCTTATCTTTTTTTTATCATATCTTATCTTTCTTATCTTTTTTAACTTCAATTTCATGTGTCGATTCATGTTAGTCAACCCCAAACTCTTTTGGGACTAAGGATATGATTGGCACAACTAGCTGACAAGATACTTATAAGAGCTTTTTAGTAAGTATTAGATTTTAGTGAGTGAAAAGATCTTAAACTAAAAAGGTGTAATTGTTTGATAAAAAGTTAATTGTTTGATTTAGCTCTGTTTGATATATAAGTTGTTGGGATTATTAATGCTAAAAGTTACAGACTTTTCTCGGATGCTACTCATTGTAGCTCAAATAAGATCTTTTATTTTTAGAAAGCTCTTAAAATTGTTGTGCCAAACATTCAACTAGAAGTTTTAAGAGACTTCTAAAATGGTATAAAAAGCTAGAAGGTAGGGATTTATGCCTACCAAACATGCTTTAAGGCTTGGATGTTGTTGTATGTGATTGTAACATTTACCATTAATTTCAACCATTAGATCATCAAAAAGTGTGTATATATGTGAATGTATGTGTATATATACATGTAAGTATACATCAGTGTTCTACAACTCGCTAGGCGCTAGTCGGGCGGCGGAGCACCGCCTAGCGCCTAGGGCGCCGACTAGTCGCCGGCGAAGTATAATAATTGTTTTTGTAATTTGTGGAACTATTGGTAGTACAAATGAAAAAATAAAAATAATTTATATCAATCATGTATTCATATAAGAGGTATAAACATAATATTATAAGAAGCCATAAACATATAGTGTAGTTGTTCATCAAAACAGCAAAAAACGAAGCTGTCAAAGAGAAAAACATCTAAAATCGGAGAGTTTAAACATATAGGCAGGTTGGTCAAACATGTTTTTACAAAAATAGCTATTTGCAAGTTTGTGATGTAAAATTTTTAAAAATAAGTTCTTCCAGTCAAGGAATGATTAAAACTTCTCATAACTTAGGATAAAACATGAAGTAGCTAATATGAAACTCCATTGTTCCTTTGAGGACTTTTATCAAACACTTAAGTTGCAAACTTTATCAAACTTTCTTTCAAACAAATACACAAGTAAAAAAGACATCATGTATACGGTAAATCAGTAACAAATGTGTAGTCAATCGGCCCATATTAGTTTTTCACTTATTCCTCAATCAAGTTCTTAAGACTGTAAAAGACAAATCAAATTTTCGAATATTTCTTTAAAGAAAAGAAAATGAGGAGAAGATGTTACTTGAGAGCTGAGGCAGGCTATTCTCTGAGAACTCCTGAGATAGTGCCAGCTGCCAGGTAATTGAAGAGGACCAGCAGCTTGTATGACATGCGTTGAGATGAAGAAGGAAGGTGGAAAATTGAAAGTGCTCGTCCGCCATATTAGAAGAGGAAATATGTCGAATAACAGAAATTGGGTGTTCAACGTAAAGAAAAGAAATCACCGGCGAAATGAAGTGTTGAGCCGCCCGGCGCATTTTACTGATTTGGGCGATTCGAACGCCTAGGCGGCCTCGGCGCCCGATTACTCGCTGGTGTGACTTTGTAGGCCGATTATACCTATTTCGCCACGGTTGGCTACTGCCTAATGCCTAGGCGGCCGCCTAGGGCGAGTTTTAGATCCATGGTATACATACATGGAGGACAGATCATATCAGGTCGGCCTGACGGGAACCGCCGTCAGGCCGAGGCCATCAGAGACCCTTCCCGGTGGAATTTTTTGATGAAATGTTTTTAGCATGTTCCTCATCAAGTCTAGTTTGTTCATACCAAATTTCAGCTAAAAATTCAATCGGGAAGGCAATGAAATAAATTCTCTACCAAAACTGCGCAGTTTATGTATATATAAAGTGCATTTTTTGTAGAACATTTATTTGAGTGTCTTCCCGATTGAATTTTTAGCTGAAATTTGGTATGAATAAACTAGACTTGATGGTGAACATGGTCAAAAAGTTTCATCAAAAAAATCCATAGGGAAGGGCCTCTGATCACCTTGGCCGGACGGCAAATCCTGTCAGGCCGGCCTGACAGGATTGCTACTCTACATGCATGTATGTATATTTATACATAGAATTTGGATCAAATGAGAACGACGCTTAACGTGAGAACACCACATTTACCCCAACGTAATGCACAATAAAACTTGTTTATTGCAATTTTTCGTATTGTCATAATATTTATCAAAATGCCACCGTTTTTATTTATTATGTCTTAATTTGAGCAAAGTTAAAAATGTGCAATAAAAGAGCTTCAGTGTGCACCACATTGATTTAAATGTGAGTGTTCTCACGTTCTCACGCTAAGCATCGTTCTCATTAGAACTGCACCTTATATACATATATGTATATATACATAATGCATGTACATGTGTGTATACATGTAGATATAGATATGTATATGTATGCATGCATGTGCATGTGTATATGGATATGGAAGACAATTCATGTCTAGCCAGCCTGACGGGATCTGCCCGGCCGAGGCCGTTTAGGGCTTCCCGTTGAAATTTTTGATGAAATTTTTTGAACATATTTTTCATCAAACATAGTTTATGTCCACCAAACTTTAGCTAAAAATTCAATCGGGAAGGCAGTCAAATGTGTAATTGAAAAACACTACGCTATTTATATAATATAAGCATGTGTATACATGTATATGTGTGTGAGGATATATGTAACGTGTACGTGAATATATGTGTGTGTGCGCGCGTATACTACCCCTACCAAAAGAATCCGGTTCTTAAGATGGTAGAAATGGAGTAAGTATTAGTTTTTTAAGAGATCACGATTCGTTCATCTGATTCAAAATAAGAGATTGGTAGAAGAGATTTAGGGGAGAGAATGATTTAAGATTTTTTTAACAGAGTAGCTAGTGGAAATGGCTGGTGGTCCAAATTGTTTTAAAACACAAAGATATAAGGCATCTCCATGCAATGCTTGAGAAGTTGAGAACCAAGTACATGAGCCACCATATGTATCTCTAATTGACTTAATCTACCAAAAGTATATTAAGTTACTCGTATATATCAGTATCACTTATCTTGATAATGTTACATCAATCATGATATTCCAAATAAACGATTTGCAACACATATTTCAACTACAGTCAATAAAGCATATATTGAGTAGTAAAGAACCATTCTCAAAGCCACAATGTAAACACCCAATGTCCCAATGCAATATGCTGGAGAAACTTACTGTTAGGATGGAACATTCGAGAAATAAATCGCACTGTTGGTGGCTTATTTGGGTAGTCCTCGCTGAACTGAAGCGTCAACTTAAAAGTACCTGGCATTAAATAACATATCAAAGATGCAGGCCAACATTTCACAGGAACAGGATCAATCACATGGAAGCAATATGAATAAAGACATATGATTAACAAATTTCCCTAGGCCAATCAAGTGCTTTCAACTATTGATACTTGTAATAAGTGGTCATATAGATAGCTATACACAAAAGAAGGAAGTAGCAATGCGTACTATTTGACCTAAGGCAAGATAAAAACAGTAAGCAGGAGATGCCTCACCTCCATCCCAAGGAGTGTCATCCGGACTGAGAATATATAAATAAAAAATTAGTACACACGACAAAATACTAATCCTTTGTCTTATATAGAACATATGTGTGTGTCAATATATATGCATCTATGTATATAGAATTTTGGTCAAATGAGAACGCGACCTAAGGAGAGAAATGAGAATGAATCTAGAGCGTTAGAATGGAGAATTGTGCATAATGTGAAACAGAAATGTGCCTAGCATAAATCAGAAAATGTGATGGCAGTTCTATAAATAAGTTCAACTTTTTTACGCATATGAAGTGTGCATTATTTTAATCATAAATGTGCACCTCCATGAGAGCATATACAATGCAAAATCGTGAACAATGCATATTTGAACAATCCATGAGAGAGAGAGACATAAAAATTAATGAGTAGAATATCTCCCTCCTTATTTGAACGGTCTAATATATTTTTGATAAGTTTTCTTCACAATGTCAATACAATGTCTAGACTCTAGATGTAGACATTGTAGTTGACATTGTTGAGAATAACTTACCAAAAAACACATAAGATCGTTAAAAGAAAGAGAGAGGATTTCATGAATTTATTCTTTTGTGTCTATCTCTCATGTTACATATGCATCGGGCACATTGTAGCATTGAAGATGCTCTGAAACATAATGTGCATAATTCATTCTCATTTTTCACGAGGAGAAATGTTATCACCACATCAGACCCTATATACACATATAAGGGATGGTTCTATAGTGAAAACTTTTTATAATGAAAACTTTTATTCAAAAATCAAATGGGTCATTTTGTAATTATTGTAACATTGTTACAAAAATGTCACCTTGATTTGAAATATGAAAGGTGAAGATTAAAAGTTCTCACTTATAAATGAGTCCTCATTTTGAAAAGGGTTCTTGTTACAACCTCCCCTATGTGTGTGTATATATATAGTCTTACTCTCATCTGTGAGAGGAATATCCTTCAGTCCAGTTTTCATTTTACACCAAAAAGTTAATGGTCCATTTTTTTCACTCATTAACATTAAGTATTAGTTTCGACCATTAGATCTTAAATTTGTTCTATGTTGAACCCTATAAACACACTTTCTTACTTCTAATACTTATCTAACAATTAAGACAATTTCATTATAAAAAGTAGAATTAAACTTATTAGAATTTAATTTTTCAAATGATCGAATGGTTGAAACTAACATGTAATGCTAATAACTAAAAAAGTTGGATGATTTCACTCATTCTTAACTCAAAATCAAGTTGGAATGGCAGGATTTGTGACACCGCACCCGGATGTACTTGAATTTGGAATTTGATATGTATTCGAATTTTCTAGCGAATAAAATTCGTGTAATTGATTGGCATATTTAATTAATGTACGATTAATTAAATTGTTTACCGGGTCCTGTATATGTGACCGGACTACCAAATATTTAGTTGGGTCATCATAATAAATTATAGAAGCCCAATAAAGTGCCAATAAAAGTTGATAAAAATATTTGGACAACCCGAGTGCTATTTTGGCCGAACCTACCAAAAATAGCAGGAATAATTGGGAGGGACTCCCTACACCCACTTGGGATATTCTACACACTAATTAGACTCAAATAATAGGGAGGGGGACCACACAAATTGGCTTGTGCGGATGAGGGAAATGGGAAGTCTCATTGAGACAAAACCCACACCTCTTTTTTTGGCATTGTCTATGCCTTGATTGAGGTAAGTGATTGAAGAGGAATCCTTCCCCATCCTCTTGTGTCATTCGAACCACCCAAAGCCAAGAGGGAGAGAAAGCTCTAGGGTAAGTCTCACAAAGCTCAACTTGAAGGGAGCAAGAGGAGGAGGAGTCCAAGAAGAAAATAGCTAGAAGAGAGGTAAGAACTTAACTAGTTCCCTTTAGCTAGTTTTTGTGTATGATTTTTAAGAAATCATATGGTGGATTAAACCATGGGTTTTACACGTTTAAAAAGTGTAATATAATGCTATAAAGTGGTGGTATTTAACTTAGAAGAGTCGTGGAATCGGTAGGAGTTGAAACCGCCGGAAACCGCCACTTGAAGGGAGCTGTTCGTAGTTGCAGACCACGAAAGCCGCCCAGCTTTCGTGAAAGCCGCCCGGCTTTCATCATTCTGCCCAGAAGTTGTTTTTGATCGGTTTAGAACGAGGATTGATCGGAGGGCTTAACGAGGACAACTATTTCAGCACTTCATAAGGTGAGGATGGCTGACTATATTGCTTATAATCTTTGGGTTAATTTCATGAGATTACCTAAGGTAATTAAATATGTTTTTAAGGATTATTAATGATTAATAATGCCTAAGAATGAGAAGACTATTGTCTATGAGGAAAAGAGCATAATATACAAATTTGTAAGAGATTGTGTATGATTATGTGATATGAAAGAAATGGTATGGTAATGGAATCAACTATGAAAATTGTGATAAAATATACTTTTACTTCATGTATGAAATTCATGAATGGATAAAAGTGATATTTTTGATATTGGGATTAAATCATATTTGGATTGGAAAATCAATTGAGATAAACTATTTGGTTATGAATTTAGAACTTGGTTGTTCTAAGGTTATTCGACTAGTATCGAAATACTAGTCGGGAGATTTATATAAATAAATGATGGAATTAATCCTAAGAGATAGGATTGTGAATAGATATGCCTTAAGTAGTCTTAAGAGATGCTTTAAGGTCGAATTGTATGAACACTAAGGTGTGTTAGGGGTAGGCCTAAAGGCTATCCAAGTGAATTGATTCTAGGCATAGGATTTGCTTGAGAATCGAGCTATGAAAATAAACTAGAGTCGGACTCTAGGATTACATGGAAATGTAGTTGGGCCGAGCCCTTGCCATGTAACGTGATTAGCATGGAAACGTAGTTGGGCCGAGCCCTTGCCATGCATTGTGATCTTCATGGAAACGTAGTTGGGCCGAGCCCTTGCCATGAAGTTATGGTTGGTATGGAAACGTAGTTGGGCCGAGCCCTTGCCATACAAATATAGATATATTAGATTGAGTTAAAGGATTGTATAGAAATGTAGTTGGGCCGAGCCCTTGCTATACAATCGGGACTCGAGGGAACCCTATGGGGTTGTCGTGACTCATGGTCACGGAAAGTGAAAATGGAAAATTCTAAATGAATATGGGCCCACGGGCCGACTACTTGACTTTATATAAAGTAAGTATATTTTGAAAACAGGGTAACCGGGGGTTACGGCCTACGATATAATATCACTCTATTTGAGGGTCTTAAGAAATTGAAACATTGATTATACTTAGTATAGTTGTCATTGTACTTGTCAAATGCTTCCAAGTACTGACCTCCCCTTCACGGGGGAGGCCACCTCACAGTTTCAGGTAGAACTTGAAGAGTTGCTGCCACCACCCGTTGCTTCGGGGAGATCAAGGGAAGAAGACGTGGTTCGTGCTTCTTCCGTTTCTGTTTTGAAAACAATCTAAATAATGCTCATGGATATTATTTTGAATATTTATTTGGGGCTTGTATGCCCGTGTTTGCCACGTGTGGCTCGGATATTATATTAATGTTTCCGCTGCTTAAATTAAATGTTTTACATTGTGATTGTTTATGGATGTACTATTGTGAAGGGTATTCAAGACGCCTTGTATAGTATGGATGAGTTGGACCGCGGTTGACTATCCGTACTGTACGGCGGGTTGTTGACGTGTCCGGTAGGTCCGGGGCGTGACAATTTAATTGGTATCAGAGCCTTAGTCCGTAAACTTCATAATGAAGCTTCAAAATCCTTTTTGAAAATGATTTTGAAAACCATGAGCATAAAGTTTTGTACTTATAGAACTTTTGGTACTTGAGTTGCAAGGTCTCTAATTGTTAAGATGGTACCCTTAACAATTGGCATGGCGGCGATTTGAGCCAAGGGATGTCTTTAAGTGCCTATCCGTCATTTGACATTTGATACGGGTCTAATGACTCAACTTCTATCTCTTTCAGAAATGGAACGTACCGGTAAAGTCACTCGAAGAAACCCGACTGGCCAGGCACGGGGAGGATCCCAACATGGCAGTCGAGGGGCATCGAGGGCGTCTCGTGGGCAGGACCGTGCGGGTCACTCGTTAACGGTGAGTGACGGTCATGTGGAGACAATCGATGAACAATACGATTCCGAGGAGGATTCGACGTATCAACCGGGAACCGAGCCGGTTGAGACCCCATATGATGGGGAATATGATGATGATGATGAGAGCGACGATGATGACGCTCTAGAAAGGATGGAGGAGCTGCTCCGTCAATACCAACAGGATCGCCAAAGGCGCCGGGCAAGGCGTGCTTTGGGAGGGGCTTCCAGGGGAGGAAGCCGTGTGGGTTCTAGGGGACATGTAGAGTCCCGGAATGATCGAGGTACCGAGGTCCCGATAATAAGGATCTCAAAGTACCTCAAGGAGGCAAGAGACTTGGGGTGTAAACCGTTTGATGGAACGGGAGACATCTCCATTGCGGCCGAGTGGATCAAGAGATTCAACGAAGCGGCTCTTGACATGGAGCTGCCGCCGATCATGAAGTTGAGAGTGGCAACGAGGTTGCTAGAGGGAATGGCGTCCACGTGGTGGGACGGCGTCAAGGGGAAGTATGGTGAGGCAGTCACTTGGGAGAACTTCCGTCAAGAATTCTTTAACCAATACTACTCCGACTTCGAGGTGAACTTGAAGAGGAGGGAATACACCAACTTGACCCAAGGAGGCAAGTATACCGTGAGGCAACTCGAGCATAAGTTCAGGGAGCTTGCCGAGTTCATTCCGGAGTACATATGTGATGAGAACCGGATGGTGAACCACTTCTGGGATGCCTTGGACCTTGATATACGTGAGAGGGCAACACAATTGCCTAATATGACGTTTAGCCAAGTCGTCGAGCAAGGCTTGAAGGGGGAGAAAGAATGGGAAGAAAGGAAGCGGAGGAATGCCGAGGAGGCAAAGAAAAGAAAGTGGGAGAATCAAGGCCCCCAAGGTTCCAACAAGAAGGGGAACCACGGGGGAGGG